CGGTGGTTGACTTGGGTCAGGCTTAGGTTGGAAGTTAAAATGCTAACATTAAACTATCCCTAAAAAGCGATAATCCTATTCTAATGAAAGCGATGAAATTATGAAATCTATCTATGAAAGCGGTAAAGGAAAGCTTGTAAATTTTTAACTATGAAAGCGATAATTTCTAACTAGGAAAGCAATAAAAGAAAGCTGTAAGTTTGGCGGATATAAGATTAGGCTTATGGATGCTTTTCACGAAATTCTATCATCGCTTGAGCTTCTGAACCTCCATCAGATTAATCTCTGCATTGGCCTGTTGCAACACAGGCCCTTCAATGTACGGTTTCAGCCTCGCTCCATTCACCAAGAAGGAATCTTTTTCTCCGGGGGTCTCCACAATGTTAATCCTTATGGCTCCACTTGGCAGCACTTGTCTGACAATATACGGCCCAATCCACCGTGACTTCAATTTCCCTGGGAATAAGTGGAGCCTAGTGTCATATAAAAGAACTTTGGATCCCACCGTAAACTCTTTCTTCTTCAACTTCTTGTCATGATAGAATTTCATCCTTTCCTTATAGATCTTCGCGCTTTCATATGCAAGGTATCGGAACTCGGTCAGATCGAGCAATCTTTTAGCGCGCTTCTCCTGCGCTGGGAGAAGATCAAAATTGAGATACTTGATAGCCCAGTACGCACGATGCTCTAGTTCCAGCGGTAGGTGGCAGGCTTTTCCATATACAAGCCGATAAGGGGACATTCCAATTGGAGTCTTGAAGGCTGTTCTATAGGCCCACAGCGCATCATCCAATTTCTCTGCTCAATTCTTGCGACTCTTATTTACTGTGGTCTGGAGGATGTGTTTGATCTCTCTATTTGAAACTTCCACTTGACCACTCGCATGTGGATGATAGGGGGTAGTTAGATGCTGGCGAACACCATATTGTTGTAGGCTAGATTGTAGTGCCTTATTCACAAAATGGGTGCCTCCGTCGCTTATTATCGTTCTAGGGACCCCAAACCTTGGGAATATGGTATATTTTAGGAAGCGGATCACTGATTTAGCATCATTTGTGGTGAGCGCTTGCGCTTCAACCCATTTACTCAGGTAATCCACCGCCACCAGAATGTATTGTCTCCCATTAGAAGGTGGAAAGGGACCCATAAAATCTATCCCCCATACATCAAATATGTCCACAAACAGGACTCCAGTTTGGGGCATCTCATCTTTCTTCGAGATGGATCCCAATCTTTGGCATTTGTCGCAAGATTTGGCAAAGGCATCTGCATCTTTTTGTAGGGTAGGCCAAAAGAAGGCTGACTGCAAAACTTTGGCCGCTGTGCGCATGCCAGCGAAATGCCCTCCTACATGGGACCCATGACATTCGTTCAAGATCAGCGGGATCTCAAACTCCGCTACACAGTGACGGATTATCCCGTCTGAGCCGATGTTGAACAAATAAGGTTCATCCCAAAAATAATCCTTTGCCAAACTGAGCAATCTCTTCTTTTCCCGTTGTACAGTGTGTGCTGGAAACTGTCCAGTAGTTAAAAAGTTGGCCAGGTCAGCGAACCATGGCTCTTTCGCTTGCACCAGAAACAGCTTCTCATCTGGGAATTGTTCATTGATCCCAGGAGATTTGTCCTCCTCTTGTCGCAACCTACTGAGGTGATCCGCCACATGATTTTCCTTTCCCTTCTTATCCTTGATTTCTATGTTGAATTCCTGGAGCAACAAAACCCATCTAATCAAGCGGGCTTTTGTCTCATTTTTCTCCATCAAATATTTAATGGCTGCATGGTCAGTGTGAACAATGGTCTTGCTTCCGATAAGATACTGTCTGAATTTCTCAAAAGCGAAGACAATAGCTAGCAGCTCTTTCTCGGTGGTAGTGTAATTCTTCTGAGCAGAGTCCAGCGCTTTACTTGCATAATAAATGATGTTAAGTTTAGACTCCACCCTTTGTCCTAGTACAGCGCCGACGACATAATCACTCGCATCCGTCATTAGTTCGAATGGCTCACTCCACACTGGTGCTGAAATTATAGGAGCAGAGGTCAGCTTATCCTTCAGTATTTGAAAAGCCTCCTCACACTCGCTTGACCAGTAGAATTGAGTATCCTTGCACAGCAGTGACGTGAGTGGTTGTGTGATTTGACTGAAACCCCTGATTAAACGACGGTAAAATCCCGCGTGACCCAGAAAGCTTCGCACTCCTTTCTCATTCGAGGGCGATGGCATTTTTTCGATTACACTAGTTTTTGATCTATCTACCTCTATACCGGCAGACGAGATTTTATGGCCCAAGACAATTCCTTCATTCACCATGAGGTGACATTTCTCCCAGTTCAGCACGAGATCAGTCTCTATGCAACGGAGAAGTACTTTTTCTTGATTATTCAGGCATTTGGAAAAGGTCTTGCCATACACTGAGAAATCATCCATAAAAACTTCAATACAGGAGTCCAGGAGATCACTGAAGATATGGTACATACATCGCTGGAAGGTGGCCGGAGCGTTGCAAAGTCCAAACGGCATCCTCCTATAAGCGAAAGTCCTATATGGACAAGTGAATGTAGTCTTCTCACAGTCCTCCGGTTTGATGGGAACTTGATGATAGCCTGAGTAGCCATCGAGGAAACAGTAGTATTCGTGACCTGCAAGCTTCTCAAGGCATTGATCAAGGAAGGGAAGTGCGAAATGATCCTTCTTTGTGGCTGAATTCAGTTTTCTGTAGTCGATGCAAACCCTCCATCCAGTGACAGGTCTTGTCATGAAGACCTCCCCATCGTCGCTTGTCTGTTCAACGAATCCTCCTTTCTTGGGAACCACCTGGGTTGGGCTAACCCACCGGCTGTCACTGATAGGGTATATGATTCCTGCATCGAACAATTTGATCACCTCTTTCTTGACTACTTCTTGCATATTCTCGTTCAAACGCCGCTGAGGCTGTCTACATGGCTTTGCATCAGCTTCCAGCCTTATATGGTGCATACACACCGCTGGGCTGATTCCCTTGATGTCTGAGATTTTCCATGCAAACGCCGCTTGATTTCTTTTGAGAAGTGAGATGAGCTGAGCCTCTTGATCCGGCAATAGTAAGGCGGAAATTATCAGCGGGTAACTCTCCTCCGGCCCAAGGAATATATGTTTGAGGTGCTCAGGTAATTTCTTCAGCTCATCCTTATTGTTGGTCTCGCTCGCTGGTTCCCTCGTCGCTTGTTCAATGGATTCAGTGGGCGCTTGAATATCGTCGCTTGCCTCAGCTGAATTCTTTTTATCTTCCAGTTCGAGCGATCCATTATCTGAAATTCCTTCCAGGTTATCAAGTGTAAAAAATCTGAGTAAAAAATCTGAGTGAAAATCTGAGTAAAAAATCTGAGTGAAATTCTGAGTTCAGGAGTAATTCCTGAGTAAAAAATCTGAAGCTCCATGAAGTCCGGAATTTCATGATGAGGGCAGTTGCGGAGTAGTTGTTTGAATCGGCTCCAGGCTTTTGGAAGGGTCTCATCACTCGCCATCTTGAAAGTAAGTATTTCATTCCTCTGGCGAATGGTCTTTCATACAGGATGGTATTTGCTCACGAAGGCCTGCGCTGCTTCCTTGAATGAGCCAGGGATCGGATAAAGATTATCAAACCATTTCCTGGCCCTATTTATATCAGGTGTGAAAAGGTGGTTGCAAGTAGCAGTTAGGCAGTTCCAACCACTGGGCAGTTAGGCGGTTGCTGGTGGTTATTCTGTTGAAGCAGTTGCTGGCCATAACTCCTAGGGTGCCCGCTTCGCTTGCGTTGAAGGTTAAGGGCACAGATCTTCCTCGCTTGCTGGAGAGCAGGAGGGCATCAGTGTAGCTCGGCTCGCTTGTGCTAGCTGGAATTGGAATGATTGTACCGCTGCAGTTGAAGTACTTTGTTGAAATCTGGTGAGAGTCTGCAGTGGTGGGTATCTGGACTGTCGCTTGTAAGCGGGAGACGCTATCGCTTGCGGCTATGAAGGTGGCCGCTTGCCTCTCATGCCTTAGTGTTTTCAAAGTGTGTCTTGGGCGCTTGCGAGCGAAGGCGGCTGTCGCTTGCGGCGTCTGCCTTAGCTTTTCTGGTTCCAGATTACCGCTTAAGAGGGCAAAAAGCGTTAATAGTCTCAACAACGAATTCTGGATCATGCCTAGTGATATAAATCAATATTGTATGCCGATTACGAATTATTTTGATGGTTCTTATGCAGAAATTCAAGTAATACACATTTTTGTCAACCTAAGAATATGCTCATATTTGGAGTCATCAGTATTCATTGAGAGTCCCTGGGGACAAAAGTGGACTGTTGCCAAGTCATTAACACCCGGATTCACTAACAATCAAGCAGAATACGAAGCCTTATTAGTCGGATTGAGAATCCTACATAAAAAGGGGGCTAAGGCGATCAGAGTTCAAGGCGACTCACAACTAATTTTGAAGCAGATTACTGGAGAGTTCAAATGCAAAGATAAGAGGATGAGAAATCTTCGAATGAAAGTAGTTGGAATGTTGCAAACGTTCGACGACGTAGTGGTGGAATTCATACCTCGAGCCGAAAACAGGATAGCTAATGATTTGGCTCAAGAAGCCTCCGGGTATAAGTCATCAGCCGCAGGAAACTTCAAGTCAGGCCGAGTATATCTGTACCCAGTGGATGCGGAAGACTGGCGTATGGAACTAAGGAAATACTTGGAACAGCCAACCGGGGAAACTCCGGAAAAACTGCGGAAAGAGGCTCTGAAGTATACTCTGATTGACGGAGATCTTTTCCGCAGAGCCGCTGATGGAATGTTAATGAGATGCGTAGATAATCAAGAAGCCATGAAGGTGATGGGTGAGGTGCATGAAGGAATTTGTGGAGCACACAAATCCGGGCCAGCCATGAGATGGACGATCCGACGATATGGGTATTTCTGGCCATCAATGACGGAGGATTGTATCAAGTACGCTCAAGGATGTGAAGCGTGTCAGTGACATGGTCCTTTGATCCGAATTCCGGCGGAAGAAATGCACGCAGTGGTGAAACCATGGCCATTCCGGGGATGGGCGATGGATATCATCGGGAAAATTCACCCGCCATCTTCCAGATGCCAGTCGTTCATATTGGTGGCCACAGATTATTTCACAAAGTGGATAGAAGCTGTGCCGTTGGCTAATGTAACGTATCAGGAGGTGATCAAATTCGTTAAAGAGCACATTATTCACCGATATGGAATCCCGCAGACGATCACCACCGATCAAGGTACTGTTTTTACCAGCGATAGAGTGGCCGCTTTCGCCGCACAGTATGGGATCGCTCTTTTGCATTCGTCCCCGTATTACGTGCAGGCAAACGGGCAGGCCGAAACAGCCAATGAAGTCTTAATTGGGGTAATCAAAAGGCTGTAGAAGATAACCCGAGAAGATGGCACGAAGTGTTAGGAGAGGCTTTATGGGCTTGCAGGCAATACCGAAATAAAGCCACTGGTTACACCCCATTCCAACTGGTTTACGGACAAGAAGCGATATTGCCGTTGGAAATCACGGTGCCATCGCTACGAGTGTTGAAGCAGAATTCGCTTAGTCCCGAGCAGTACGATGCAACGATGTTACAAAGATTGGATGACGTACACGAGGATCGGATGATGGCTCTGGAAAATATCAGGGCAAATGAAGTGAAAGTGGCGCGAGCCTACAACAAGAAGATACGTCGGCGAACATTCCGAGAAGGAGATTTGGTATGGAAGGCGGTGCTACCTGAAGGATTCAAAGACAATACACTCGGGAAGTGGTCTCCTACGTGGGAAGGTCCGTACCAAGTAAGTAAAGTGCTGCCTAGCGGTGCTTATAGATTGATGAGTATTGACGGGATAGAACATAGAAACGTTATCAACGTTAAGCACCTTAAAGGATATATGTCACCACTCGAGTTCAGATAAAGTAATGCAATGTGCAAACTGAAAGCAGGCCGTGTTTTGGCCGCTAGATATGAAGCAAAACAAAAGCAGGCTATCCCGCTAACATGCAAAACGAAGGTAGGCTATTAAACCGCTGGTATGCAAAATGAAAGCAGACCATTAAGCCGCTAGTACGCAAAATGAAAGCAGGCCATTAAGCCGCTAATGTGCGAATGGAAACAAAATGAAAATAAGTTATCGTAAATAGCCAAATGAGCAGCAAACCATAAAATCCAAACGAAACGGCGGGTGAATCAAAGAAAGGCGAATGGTTCCCAAGGTTAACGTACGGTATGAGGAGTATCCTTTGCTGTTGAGTCCACATCAGGCTCGGAGTTATCAGGATCAGGTGTTGCTTCCACGGGAACTGGATCCGTTGTAGTTAAAATCAGACCTTCCTTAGACGGAGCCGTTCCATCGGGGCTTGGCGCTGCTTCCGTAGGGACTGGATCCTTTGGAGTTGAAATCAGATTTGTCGGATCTGGAACCAGTCCATAAGGCCCGGGAACTGTTTCCATGGCGATCGGACCTATCGAGGGCGGAATCGGGTTTTCCAGAGCAGGAGCTGTTCCATCAGGAACTGGCGCTGCTTCCACTGAAGTTGAAATCTCTGGGACCAGGGCTACTCCAGCAACGATTGGAACCACACCAGCAGAAGTAAGGCCCTCCGAAGACAAGGCTGTTCCACCACAGCTCGAAGCTACACTGACTAAAGCCGAACCCTCTGGAATCGATGCTACTTCCTCGGAGATGGGGACTGTTGAAGTCGTAGGCGATTCGGAAGCATTATGGTCTGCTGCCACTTCTAAGGCTGACATCAAATCCCTCACAACGTGAGCAATAGACACTTGGACGTCGGCAACAGTCTGCAATGGAAGTTCAGCTTGGGAAACTATGGGAGTATCAGACACGGGAGCAGAGGGCGATGTATCCCTTGCATGTCTGTCATCAGAACCTGGAGATTGTGAAGAAAACACCTGGGCTGAAGGTTTACAAACTGCCCACAAAGAGGCCAAGGCCCCCCATTCCGACTCCAACTCCTTCAAAGTCGCCTCCCCGTTGGCGGTGTTAAACTCATATAGGACCTTTTTCTGCAACAAAGCGGCTATGGGGGCATCTAGACGCTGGGACTTCTTGTATAAGTCAGCTTGTATTCGACGTTTCACCGCCAATAGCCGTTCCAAGCCCGCAATTTCGGGGCCTAATTGGGCGAGCCGAGCTTGAAGACGAGCCACCTCGGCTTGTTTCGCTAGTTGTTCGGCGCGAGAGGCTTCAAGCCGGCTCGAAGCATCGGAAGCTTCATCCTCAGTATGCGAAAATTCATCTTGCAAGGATTGTTTCTGATCCCGCAGCGTTCCCAGTTGATCTAAATGCGTCCTCCCGAAATCTAGGTTCTCTTCCTCCATCCTACGGCGTTGGGTGAAAGTGTTCACTCTGGAAGATAAGCTGACCCACTGCGCAGGAATAGACTCGGGAAGAGTTGCATAGGAAGAGGACCCCGCCAAATTTAATAATGCCAGTTGGATGGAGCTTAAAGTTTCAGAATCCCCCGGGGACGCTCCCAGACAGGCGGTGACAAATTGTTCATCCATCCCTTCGGGGAGTGGACCAGCAGAGGCAGAGACAGATGGTGCACCTTGATGTCCAATGAAATACTCCCGAATACGCTCTTGATTGATAACAGAATCGGAAGCAACACGACCTGCACGAGGTGGGGCAGAAGTAAAGTCTGGAAGCGGAAAGGGAGTATCCGATGTTCTCAAAGATATATGCTGATAAAAGGTTAGTGAATAACATTCTAATGTGAGCATGAAGGGAAATGCAACTGAGGTAATGGGAATACCTTGGACATAGACGTTTTCGGCGGACGAACTTCTGAAGGGAGATTCACCGTAGGATAAGCTGTAGTCTCGGCCGCAGGAGTTGCCTCAACACCTTTGTGCATCTTCTTAGCAGGCTGGATACAATAATACATACGAGTGAGAAAATCATGAAGTGATCTTGGAAAATACATGGAAATGGACGTGAACCTGGATATTAGGAGAAATGGTTGCACGACGCTTCTCCGAAGGCTTTAGGGCAGCAACTCTGGCTTTGGCATGTCAGGTCGATCTACGTACGGGGAAGGACTCTGTCACTACGAACACAACGAGGATTAACGGACATTTATTGATCAAAGGGAAAGGAAGGGATGAACACCTACCTTCGATGATCTCAGGAGCCGCACTTTCGACCTCTTCAACAGCAGTGTTAGCTGGCTCACTCTGATGGTCAGAATCAGTATCAATAAAACGGCATAACTAAGAAGTTGGAGGTTCCACAAAGAGAACGTCCCTTAAGGACGCCCACCAGCTAGAAAAATCCGAACCAACGGAAGGCTTAGTCTCAAAAACAGGAAGGGGTGAGTCCTCAATGGCCGTATTCAAACCTCGGAACATATCAAGACCTTCAGAGGTCACATCCTTCATCACCAGCGGGAAGGGCCCTCGGCAATGGAAACGGTACATTGGAACAGTCTGTCGGAGTCCGAACTGGCGTGCATACAACTGCGGGAAATAACTTTCCACGCTAATGGGCAAAGAACGAGATGTAGGCCTTAGACCCAACAACAAAGGCCTTGCAGTTAGAACTTGATTCCACGACGAAGTAATGGAAGACCAATCAAGGGAATCATCCTCTTTCATCGGCGGGGGTTTAGAGAACCAATCAGGCCCATGAGGGACGAATCGTGCATCCTCACGTTCACTGGATGATAAGAAAAAATTAGCGATCTGGAAAGCGTTACGGGAACATTCAAATCCAGATAAAAACACGCCGATACGATCCTCTTTCGGAATTTGGAATGGCCACGGTATGTCGAATAGCTCTGGAAACATATAAGCAGCCCAAAGCTGAAGAAACCACAAGGGTCTTCTTTGGGTAGATACGCCCTCCTCACGACTCAGGCGGGTATAAAGATCATTAAGGGTCCGATCCAAATATCCTAGGAAGAACTGAGCAAGCGCCAAATTGTCACCCTCCATTATCGACGCCACCAAGGGCTCATATTCCCTAACCAAATTCCTACCAGCTGCGCCTATGAAAAAGCGATTCACCCAGAGCATCAAGAAAGTTCTATGGTTATCTAGTAAATTGGTTTTGGAGCTCGGTGCACCATACTTCCCATAAAGCAAGGCACTCGAGCTAGACTTCGAATAGTCTATACCAAAATCTACGGCATTCAATGGGGGAGGGAACAAAGCATAATCATCCCCTGTTACAGGGAGACCTAACAACACTGCAATGTCAAGCAATGTAGGCGAAACCATGCCGAAGGGAAAACAAAATCCGTTCACTGCTGGACACAAAAAACGCAAGAGTACGAAAAGGAGGTCAGGATGAGGGTGAGAAACCTGGGTGCTAACGGTGATCATGTCGTCGATCCCCCAAGCTTCCCACTGGGTATCGACCGCGCCGCCAAGGGTCGCCATCCATTCTTTGAAAGTTGCGCCGTCGGGATATCTGGTCAAGACCCTTCCTTGTCGGAGAGCCAACGAATAAAATGGTTTCGTGATCAACAAAGGGGACGCACCGTCGCCGGCAAGGATCCGTCGGAGTTCCTCCTTTTGGAGATCTGTTTCCGCCGCCGGCGTCAACACCCAGGAACTCCCATCATCGGACGGGCGCAAAAGCTCCTCGACCGGCATCGAGTAGCGGATCAGACTCGGGACCGCCGTCAGTGGTGAAGGTTCAGCTACATTACCGGAATCAGGGGATGTCGAAGAAGCCATACGGCTTGAAGCTCGCGTTCACCAAACAAAACAAATCCTTCGGAAGAAGAGGAGTGGAAAAAACGAAGGGAAATGGAAAAGAAGGAGTAACGTTAAACCCTTAAGAAAAAACCCTTGAATGTCTTTCTTCCTCAGATGACGCGGGAATCGAAGGAAGCTACCGTCACATCAAGGCTGAATGGCTTTACAAGATATCAAATTGGGAGGAATATTGTGTCAAGGCCCAAGACGGTAAACCTCACACGAAGGAAATCCCAAAAAGAGAGCAAAGTCTCGCGTATCGTATATTTTATCTCTTTTTGAGGAGGGCATTTGTTGGACACCAAGTCCAAAAGGGTTTTAATGTCGAAAGTAAGGACTTCCATCAGGCTGCAGAGCTCCCATGGAGCGAGAAAATATAATTTCCATAGGCCTTCGGACGACAAGCTCCATCAACTTTGAATTGGCAACCTCATTATACTAATGGAAGACCATGAAGAGTGAGGGTTCCATGTAACTCAAGACTGTTGGGAATACACTCCCATAGACCGGCTGGCAGTATGATGAAAACGAATCAAAGTAGGCTGCAGGTCTGATCAGAAGGCAATGGAAGAAATCCGAAGCGAATGGAACTTGATCCAGGAACGATGGAAGATGATCAAGACGAATGGAACCCGGTCCAGGAGCAATGGAAGCCACTGGGAACTGATGGAAGGAGGTTATTTTATGGTTAAGAGGAGTAGAAATAAGTGGGAATAATTTGTAACCACCCATGTTAGTGGGAGAAGTGGTTATTCTACCTAGGATTACAAGTAGGAAAAATAAACACAACACACAGGACGCACAACAGAACAATTCGTCTATTTTCTTACTTTCCTTTCATGTTTTATTTTCGTCTAATGCATTTTAATTCCGATTATATGCTTTCTGCAATTTATTAACTCTCTTTCCGTAGTTAATCGTAGTGTAGTTCGTTAATCGCGTAAAATCTGCATTGCCCGACGACGGATTGGCTCTCTGGGGTACCCACATCGACGAAATCGACGAGCTATTTTGGAATTCCGAATCGCAGGATCCAACAGCCATACCTACTTTCTGATACCAGAATTGTTGCAAATCAAGAGAGAAAATGCCACCAAACTAGGTTGTAGACAATGGAGAAGAACAGAGCAGAGAAGAGAGATCGTGCAGGGCGTGTTTTTTTTTTTGGATAAACTTCAAAGACCTTCATAT